GGGGGGGGGGGGGGGGGGGGCATGGGGATTTTATAGCTTGGATATAACATGAAAACACAACTTGAGATACTTGAATACAAAAGTACTCCATCTATATTTTATATTATATTTCTATAGTTTTGGCAACTCGATAAATGCTCGTTCTTTATCTCTTTGTAGTAGTGTCCATAGAAGGAGAGCCGACTGTGAGCTATATGAATTTTATCTTGAAAACATGTAGTGCCGAAAGTATCCGCACGAAGGGGAGACAACACAACTTTAGGATAACATTCTTCACGTGACTCCCTAAGGCTTGATTTTCCAACCCTCTTCTTATCTTTATATTATTGTTGAATTATATTATTTATATTTATGTTTAAAATTGTTATGTTAATTGTTAATTTATTTATGCACAAATTACTCATTTTTTCCAACAGTATGAACCTTTTCGAGAGCTCCGATGATGTAGTTTTTATTAATGATTTTCTCTCGAGTTTTATAGGTTGATAAGCGTGCATTATCAATTGAAGTTATTTCTTCCTTTCGATATATAATCTTTAAACATGAGTGGCTATTTTGTGGATTCAAATATTTAAAGGTTTACAAATGTTGTCGGATAAAATAGTGCATGAATTATATTCCGTTAATAAAAAATATGTGCATGCAAATACTAGAGTAGCGATTTACCGAATCATAGTATATGATAATAATGAACAAATCACTACTTACTCAAAAGTGGAAAATGCAAAAATCGAATGAGATAAAATGAAGCGAGATATTGGAATGCAAATCTCCTTAAGACGGATTTTGTCCATGCACTGGAGTTAATTAACAAGATCAAATTGACATCTGTCTTCCAAAATACAACGCTTCTTCCAAAATTAATATAGCAAACCATTAATTTTTCCGATCGAATCAAAGTATAGACAATGATTTTCTTGAATGGAATAGGCACGAATTGAAAATTCGAACGAAAATTTATTTTTGAAAATAATTCGAATAGAATTTTATTTCAGCAACATAAAAAGAATGGAATTTTTATGGAGATGAGAGAATTAGAAATCAATAATAATTTGAATTGATTTGGTGAAGGAAAAAATGGAATTATAAATGCCTCTATTTATAGATTTTCAAGTGATTTGTTGAAATGTTGCAAAACAAAACATAGATCACACATTTTCACATTAAATGGTGTAGTATGTACATTTTCATCATACACCTTTTAAATAGTCACATCCATTCTAAGCAACATAACTCTTTACAATTGAAGATGCACATATTGGAGACATATTCTAATTCACAAATTATTCCAACAATTCCCCATATGAATGAAAGAAGTCGACTCTGAACAAGGAATACTAAGAAGAGTACAACTGAAATATAATGCATCAGGATCGATAGCTTTCATTTTGAACCTTCACTAGTAAGAATCTATCGGACTTACTGGCTAATCAGTGAACACAACGTTTGAACTGTTAGCAGGTATTGCAAGCCTAGACAATAGATCCAACACTTTATTTTTCATATGAAACTTTAGTTCTATATTGTGTTCATTATTTCGGCCTTGAACTCTCTTGGGTTCTGCAAGTCATTAGAGAATTCGCCTAAGTAAAATTCTCATTTGAATCGGCCAAATTCGCACTCACATAGGTGATGTTCTATAAAGAGTACACTATAATACTTTGCTTGTACTGTTTACAAGATATAATCATCATTAAAAGCATAGCTTATTCTAACCAATTTTAGGCAGCGCTTATTTGCATCATAGAACGAAGAGGAGTTAAAACTCTGAAGTGCTTCTCATCGAATCAATCATAACTAGTTTTTCTATTGAACTTAGCCCGCAGGATCTCCAGTTTCCAGGTTAGGTTTCCATTAAGTTGACCCATTAGTTTCGGTTTTACACCCATTTCTCTCGATACGCAATCTGTTCTCTCTAAATAACCCATTTATAAAAGGATCCATTAGGTTATCCTTCAATAAAACAACCAGTATTATTTAATTTGAGAGCAATTGCCATATAGGATTATGTATATGGCGGATGTCAAGACTTACCATTATATACTACATTTTTTACCATGTGATTTGTAGCTAGCAATCTCGATTAAATCATATAACAAGCACAAATTGTCACAAATTAAAAAATCATTCCAAAGTCTTTGAAGTCATCATGCTTCATTCTAACTTTATTGAAATCTCTAATTTCTTTCAATTCTCAAGTTTTACAAAGGATTTTCACGAAATAACTACACTTTCAATAGTAAAACATATTTACTAGTAGATTTTGAATCATTATACCGGATATCCAATTTTCAACATCGTGTGCATCTAAAGTTTAACAAGGTATTCATTATATTGTAGTTTATCATTTTGAATATTTTTAAACATCTCAATGTTCTAATTTGAAGAAAATAATGCCCCCGCTCCCTCCCCACAAATCTGAATGTATCCAAACTCTAAATGAGAATATTATGCAAACAATTATACTCCCACAATTCTCAATAAGACCGAACTTGGCAACATAATATTCATTTACTATTTTCAAGTTCTATTGTATCGTTAATTATGTCTATCAACTTGATAAATAATTTCGTTCCATCTCTAGTCAACATATAAAATGACTAGGAATGCCAATATCACGTGAAAATTGATGCACTTTCATGTTCATAAGATGACTAATCCATAAAATGAAAAGCCACTTTTATTCATTGCAGCTCCATCAACGACTTGGCTACCATCACAAGGTAACAAGTGATTGTTGTTGGGTTCTTTTTTTTTTTTTCACAGAAGTGCAACTACAAGAGACTGATATTGACGCATCCTTGAACAATTCACGAAATTGGAGAACATATGATGATGGATTGGCTTGATACCCACTAGACCAACTTCTCCCTAACAAAATGACATCTTTCCAAAAGTCTGCTCAATGATAGCTTTGTACCTTGTCATTTTTATTTATACTATGTGCAGAGGCCCACGGTCATGCAATCAATGCTTAACAAAATGAATATAATAAATGTGGCTGCAAAAATACTTCCTCACTGTCAAGGAAGATAAATAGTGGTTTTTATCCAAGGTGGATTAGAAGTTCTAAACCATGTCAACACATTTTTTCTAAATATTCCAGAAAATTTCAATCTAGGTATAGACAACTTTTCATATAATCAACGTCCAAAAAGTCACTTCTCTTTCCTTGAAACTGAAAATTTAAGGTCCGTTTGATTGCAAATGTGGAAAATTGGTGGAAAGAAAATGAATTCTAGAGAATTGAATTGCTTAGAAATTTTTTACTGGGAATTGTAATAAATTGTCTTT